CACCACAAGAATGTCTAAGGACTTCTTTTCTTCCAGAGTAAAACCAGGGGTTTCCATAAGTGAGCATTTAATATCTTTAAACAAAATAAGAGCTGAGCTGCATTTGAGGGGGAAGTGATTTCAGATCAAACAATGAAAAGTGTTATTATCAACTCACTTGATTCATCATGGGATAGTTTTTATGTCACACTTAGACACCATCAATCTAGGATATTTATCAATAGAAAGTCTGTCTAACAAATTGATAGCAGAAGACAATTCAAGAAAAAATCGTTATAGCAATCACACAGAACACAAATCTTTTAGGAAGGTAGCTTTCCAAGAAAAATATAATGAAACTTTTAAATGCCACAATTGTGGGTCCAGGGAACACAATAGAAGAGATTGTCCCAAAATTTCAAAGGAAAGACATAGGTCAGAATATAGGAATAAATACAATTATAGACAGTCTTCCACAGATAGACATAAATATAGAAGCCCACCAAATTACAGAGAAAGTAGAGGGGGCAGAGAAAATTCAAAAGAGAGAAAATCTGGTTCACTGAATGGACTAAATAAACAAGACAGCACTAAAACGCAACAAAATGAGAACAATAATTGGCTTATTGATTCTGGGCAACTAATCACACCACCAATAACAAAAATATATTGTCTTCATTTACAGAAGATAAGTTTGTAATAAAGGTAGCTAATCAAGAAAAAGTTCAAGTATTAGGCAGAGGGAATGTGACCTTGCCTGGTCTAGGAAAAATAGAGGGGTATTGTTAATACCAGAAATACCTCATAACATACTAAGTGCCATAAAACTAAGCAGAGATTCTGACATCAATATAGTTTTCTCAAGGGAAAAGGAAAACAACTTTAGAGAAGAATAAAACAAATGTAGGCACTGTGATGATTAAAGGAGGCCTACCCTATCTGATAACAAAAGAAAGATGGTTACATAACATTGATTCAAATATGGAAGATTGTATTGAGGCAGATGATGAAAATATTAGTAACAGTGACAATGATGAATGTAAAATATCTCACGATCACACAGATACACACAATGAGAAGAAACCAAAAATAGGTAAACCAATTCATGACGAGTGTGCTCATATCTTACATAGGAAGTTAGGACATGCAAGTTTTCCTGTAGTACAAAAAATGACTGAACACGCAGAAGGTGTCAAAATAAAAAATTGTGAAAATTATTTGGAATGCTCAGTATGTAAATCTACTAAATTAAAAACTAGTCCCAGGCCAAAAAAAAAAAAAAAAAATCCACCAGATCAACTAACAAAATTTTTGACTTAGTACACATGGACTTAGTTGGCCCATTAACTCCATCAATCACTTATAGAAAACGTTACTTCCTAACAATAGTAGACGATTACAGTCGCTATGGTTTTGTTTACACATTAAAACACAAGGATGAAACCTTTCAAAAATTTAAGGAATTTTACAAACGCATAGAAACACAACATAATATCAGAATAAAACAAATTATGACAGATAGGGGATGTGAATTCATGTCTAAAGAATTCTCCCAATGGTTAAAGGATAGAGGAATGCTACATTACACGTCCAGTCCATTTTCTGCGTTCCAGAACGGGATTGCAGAGAGAAAGAATTCCACATTACAAACCATGATTAGGTGCACATTAGAGGATGCTGGTTTAGGCAAACAATTTTGGTCAGAAGCCCTACATTATTCAAATTACACTCAAAATAGAACCTGGTCCAGTATTGTGAATAAGACACCATATGAGGTGATGTATAATAGGAAACCAAAATTAGCACACATGCACATATTTGGGTCACTGCAGACGTACACATACCTAAACAGTTGAGAAGAAAGGGAGAAAACGTATCCAGAAGACTAAGATTTATGGGATATGAAACTGGCACCAAAGGGTACAGATTCATTGATAATAATAATAAATTTATAGTTTCCAGAACAGCTGTGTTCCATGAACAGGCCAACTGGTCTAAATTACATCTTAATGAAATATTTCCAAATAAATGCAAAGATACCAAACCTCGTGAGGAAGGGACAATAGAAAATCAAAATGTCAACAAAAATAAAAACAAAACCAAAACATGGACAAATAGTCAACACAAAATAAAGACAGACACATTAACAAAAAAGGAAGCAAGATATTTGCATGACTACCATAGCAAACCAGAAAGAGCTATTAGGAACAACAGAAATCAAATACCAAATAAATACAGAGATTACATAATGCATATGGATGGTGAACAAATAACACCTAATACATATGAGGAAGTATTAAAACTCCCTCGTGAAGAAAAGGAAAAATGGGAACTAGCTATGAAAAAAGAGATGGAAAGTTTGCAAGGATTAAATGTATTCACACCTGCGATTGCACCTAAAGATAAAACAATTATTGGTACCAGGTGGATTTATAAAATTAAGAACCTAGAAGGAGGCAATACCTTATACAAAGCTAGATTGGTTGCACAAGGTTATGCACAAAAATATCCGGAGGACTATACTGACACATACTCCCCCACAGTAAGAACAGAGAGTGTTAAAACAGCTCTAGTAGTAGCATCCGCACTCAATCTTGATGTATTTCAATATGACATACAGACTGCGTACCTACACGCAAAACTAGATAAGGAAATATATGTAAGAGCACCTCACAGTCAATACACTAATAAAAATGAAATTTGGCTATTGAACAAGAGTTTATACGGATTAAAGCAATCTGGCAAAAGATGGTACGATTGCTTGGTAAAAGTACTTAAGACCATGGATTTCAACGCTACCACTGCTGATAACTGTTTCTTTGTCAAAAAGAGTGATGATCACATTGAATTTGTATTGATTTATGTAGATGATATTTTATATATAGGAAAACACAAAGAGAGAAAGAGAAATCTTTGTAAACAAGCTAAATGAACATTTCTCGTTGAAATCTCTAGGTAAAGTAAACAAATACCTTGGTGTACAAATTAAAAAAAACTAGAAGGGGATTCAAACTTACTCAGAAAGATAAGATTATTGAACTTCTAAACAAATGCAATTTAAACAATGCCAAACCCTGTGACACTCCTATGCAAACTGATTTCCTTAGAAATACTGATGAATCTTCCCCTGAATTCAAGGATAATACATTTTATAGATCAGTCATAGGTTCACTTCTTTATATATCTAATTGGACCAGGCCAGATATTGCATTACCACTCAATTTACTATCAAGGCACGTTAGCAAACCAACAATGTATCACTGGGAAGCTGTCAAAAGAATTTTAAGATATCTGAAAAGTACATTAGACTTTTGCCTAGTATTAGAACCTAGTGATAATAAAGAACCAAAACTTACATGTTACGCAGATGCGGATTGGGCTGGAGATATATCATGCAGAAAAAGTACTTCTGGTTATATTTTTCTGTTAAATGACTGTCCAGTTTACTGGTACACTGGTAAACAAGAACTGGTAGCCACTTCAACCACAGAAGCGGAATATGTTTGTTTATCCAAAGCTGCAAATAACCTTGTATGGTTTAATGATTTAATTTCAGATGTTTGGAAAAAACCTGCTTTGCCTTTTGTTATGCATGAAGACAATAAAGCGGCCATTGAAATATCTAGATCCGATGCCATTGGACAAAGATCCAGGCATATAGATATAAAATTTAAGCATGTGAGACAATTGTCTCAAGATGGATTTATCAAAGCAGTGCATTGTGATACCTCTGAACAATTAGCTGACATATTGACGAAGCCTTTACCTTCTAAACAGCACAAATACTTAACTTCCAAATTGTATGTCTTATATTGTCCTGAATCTGAATGTAATTGGTGTTGTATAGCGAACCGGCATTTAGAGGGGGATTTGTCAGATGTAAATGCCTTATTCCCTAATGTGTAAATAATGTATATATGGGATATCAGGGGTTAACTTATTCTTTGACTCTTAATGTATTCATAATTCACCACTCCCACTCTTGGCTCCACCCTTTGTATATATAAGGAGCCACCTTCACCATTTTCTTTGCTTCTATCTGTGAATATTCAGTGAATATAGAATGCCTATTATAATTAAAGAGAAATATATTTAAACCTCTAACTCTCATTATTATTATTGAGTCTGATCCTAAAAATATTGCAACGTGACATTAGAGATGTGCGAGCTCTGAATCTGAATGAGTTGGAGCAAATATTGGAATATATGATGCAGTGTGGAATATGCAACAAAAAATCAATATATCCAAGATCAATGTAGTTGTGTTTGACAGGAAAATGGACTAAGCTGTTGCAAATAACAAAAATTAGAATAAGCCATTTAACTTGTATATCTTGGTAGAATGTTTATTAAAGATGAAAAAACAAGGATAGAGAAATTTTAAAGCATACAAATATTATTAGAAAAATAGTAGATTTCTACAAGCACAATAAAACAAGTGAAAAGATAGAAACAAAACATGGCCATTCATTGCTTCTGTTTTATCCAAATAAAAGTTGGATAAGTCACAAAGAACATAAACATACATTGAATACAAATGGGGAACTTAAGAGGTAGATATGATAAAACAAAAAGGGATATGGTCAAGAATTAATGAGTGCTGATTGAATATGGACTGAACAGTAGAAAAAGAATATGCTGACTTAGTTTGATTACATAGAATAAATGAGAATCAATTTGGAAAACAAATATAGGAAGTAATTGTGAATAGGTTACGAGGAAAGGGAAGATGGAAAAAATTATGGTCAGACAGAGTTGCTAAGATCTTCAGAAAGAAAAAAGTGAAATTTAAAAAATCAAAAGGAAATGTATAAAGACACAGGATAAACAACTATTGTTTGTAAAAATGAAAAACATAAAGAGGTTTAGTGAATTGTGTTGGTATAAACTAGATTTAACTGCATTTCTTTTTCCTGTCTGTAATTTTGTTTGCCTTAAAAAGGCATAGCATTATTGACATGTAATTCATTTATTCAAGAAAAATCTGAGCATAACATATTTTCTTTCTTTCTTTCTTTTAGTGACAGTCCTAGCTATTTTTCATGAGCTTCATGTTGATACAGATCTTTATACTCTCCTTTTTGGAGAAAGTGTCCTAAATGATGCTGTGGCTATAGTACTCACATAGTAAGTTCAAAGTCTCTTTTCTTAAAGTAAATCAATGATGGATGTTCCTTAGTGTTTGTGAATTATGCTTTTCTTATACATATAACAGAATAAATTTGAATTGTTGCTAAATGTTAGCATTCACTGTTTGGTGCATTTAAAGTAATACTTTTACTTTTATTCTTATTATCTCATTAAACATTTATCTAAGATAAATGAAGCTGCAATGATTCATAGTTGGCTGTGCAGTCAAATATCCACGAAGTACCTACAAAATAGGAGACATTGTTTTATTTTAAATCATAAGAAGGTGCATGCTGTTATGCCATTAGACAATTAAAGTAATTGTGAAATCCGCTGGTGAAATCTACCTCACCATGGAGGATCAGTAGATCAGAATGAATGGAGCTAAATAAAATATAATTGTTCCTGGTTGAATTTTATATTGTATACTTTGAAGAACATTCACACATTTTTAAACAAATTATTAAGCTTTTATACATAAAGTCATTCCTGATAGACATTATACCGTAGTTCACAGAGTGGGCTAAGTATAATATGGTTTATTGGGCTTTGCTTTAGTGTATTATCTGTCAATTTTTATTTTGTTTCTGTAAACAAACTGTGGGTAGAAGTCACGTATAATCTCAGCCATAACATGTATCTGTGTATGCTTGCACATGTTTTTTTAAAATATTTAAATAACAGTGTTACATGATTGCAACAGAAAATAAAAGTTTCGTGTTGACAGTTTTATTTGGTCTATGAATAAATGCTGACTGGAAGGTTATCTCCAGATATCTTGTTCTTATGAAATATTTTTCCCTTCCAAAGGACAGAGGGAAAAGATGGTGGCTATGTTAACATAATCACACAGATTACACATTTACATACTTGTATCACTTGTATCATGTTTTACATAAAATTATGAACGTATATAATTCACACCATTGGTGTGGTGATATCAGTTACACATATTTTGAAATCATTGTACCGTTTACCAGACACCTATGCTTCTATATATAGGGCATGTGAAGTATTGTTTCCACAGCGGCCAGGTTTTTATTGATAAAAGAAGAACAGAAAGATATGAGATCCCATATTTTTTGTTTCCCCTTCATTATAGTTTTTAAAAAGAATAATGAGCAGTACAATATTTGTTATAAATGGTAGGCAAGGTGGATTTCAATTCTGGTCTCCAAATAATTCTTTAAACATAGCAATATGCACTATTTTTCAATGAGTAATCTTGTATGAGTGAAATTAAAATAGGAGAGGGTTCCAGACCTTATTCATATCTGATTGTCCTTCTTGATGTCAAAGCTTCTGTGATCAGAGGCTTCTATTCACATTGAGAAGCGGGAGATCAAGATGGCTTTCATTATAGTCTTATGATTTATCTGATCTTTAGCTTTCTATATGTGTTGTAGCCTGCCGGCAGCCAGCAGAGCTGGCAGCAGAGTTGGACAGTGAGGAGGTTGGGGAGGAACTTGGGCGAGTCCTGGGGGCTGAGAAAAGCTCAGTCGAGGACTTTGCGTTGGAGGCAGAGAGGGAGTTAGACAGCAGCAAGGCAGAGGAACAACTGGAGCCCACTCCCAATGTGCGCATGCGCAGAGCTGCCAAAAGACAAGAACAACTCAGAAAGCAGGGTCGACTCGGGAGTAAAGTCATACCTTGGAGGTGATTGGCCTCTCCCAAAAGAAATAAAAGAGGAACGAACAAGGAGTGGGCTTTTGCAGGAAATAATTCGTTCATTCCGTGACTCTGAGAGACTCTGTGCCAAGTTTTGCTTTGTACTGTGGTTGGAAACAAGTTATATGGCAGCTTGCCAAACGAGATAAGGTGTGTTGAGAAATATTCCTTTGAAAAACTGTTTGGACAAACCTTGCTGACTGTGAATGAACGTAATTCACCATCATGAAAGAGGTTTTGCCAGGATCAATTCCTGCCTCCTGCTTGTTAAGGGAGCCTAGGTCAGAACAATATATTGACATATAAGTAATATTGTCTTAGTTCAGAAAAGTGATTCCATATATTCTTTCAATATATTAAGTTATAAACAGATTGCATTATATAATATTACATAAATTTCACTTGGTTCAACATTCCATTCCATTTCCATGGTCTTTTTAGGTAACTATAAGAATATTTTGAAAAAAGAATAAGTTTTCAAAACTGAAAATAGCATTTAAATGTTTCTATAAATGTAACTCAGAATTCACATATGCCTCCAGATGTCAAACATCTTTACTCAGATCTTTAGATATCCTCTAACTAGGTAAACCATCAATATAATTAACACATTTAAACACTTTAAAAGCTTTTCATTTCTTAAGAAAGGTCAGAATAAAATGTCATTCTCTAATGCTGCAGTTCAAGGACCATAAAAAAATAAGACCACTGCAGTAGAAGGTACAAAATACTCCTAAAAAATGGTCTGTCACACATTTAGAATATTTTATATCCCAATATTCTTTTTTTTTTCAACATTTATCATAAACACTCAAATTAATAATACTTCTAGATTAATTCTTTTGCCACATGTACCAATCTAAGTGTGATGAAACTATAGTGTGACGTAACTGCCAAAAAATAACACCAGCCTCATGAAGTTTTAGACTACATCAGTGGAAAAATGTTTTTCAAATCAAAGGAAACAGTCATTTCATTTTATTCTGTTTTGATCAGTTCCAATTTGAATATTGAGTATTGTTTTGGCCATCATATTTCAACAAATTACCAAAACTGGAACAACATCATAAAATCAATATAAGACTAGAAACTAAACCTTGGATGATAAGTTCAAAGAGCATACTAAACTTAGCTCTGAAAAATAATACTGAGGAGGGATATGATAGCATTCTTCAAGGAAGTAAAACTATAGCATACATTTTTTAAAAATCTGTTCTCACTTGTTCCATGGTACAGGGTTTATAATAATGTACTTAAGTTATAGGAAAGCATATATGGTTCCTACCATTGAATGGTAGAAAAAGATTAGTAGTAAAAGAGGTTTGACAATTATCAAGGCAGGTGAGGGGCTTCCATTACTGAATTGCTTAAGTAGAGGCTAAATAAATATGTCTCATCTTTACAAGATACATTCATTGGGATTTCTTCCCTGAGCTTCAGGTTGCAGTCAGTGATTTAACTGGCCCTTCCGTGATTCTGTGCATGGAAGATTGGAAAGAATTGATAATATCTTGTATCAAAATATGATTGTGCTCAAAATATGATTATTTGAATAATCTGGGCAATTCTTAAAAATCTATTATAGCCAGTTCTCCTCATAAATAATTTGCAACAGATTTTTGTGTGAATTTCACAAATCCAAAACCACTTGAAGTAATATGAAAAACTGGTTGTTGTTTTTCCTTTTCTTTTCTGTTGGTGGTCTGGTCAAATATGAATCCCCTTATAGTGATTTAAGAAACCTAGAAAGTTCAACAACACAATATGTTTCCAGAGAAATGGCATGTGGTAGTTTATATAGGATACACGTAACTGATCTGTAAGAATTCTGGAAGCAAAATTTCCAGTTGCTAACAGGTTTTTGGCCTAAAATACTACCATTTTCACTATTCTGCATGAGCCTTTAAATTAACATTTAGTCTGGAGTTTTGGATTTGGCTGAACAGAGAATAATCTGGACCAAAATTATGAATGTATAATGTCAAACAGATTCCATTTAAACCAACCAGAAACCCAATCTGGAAGTGGAATGGAGTCAACTGACATGCATGTTGTTTCCAATCACAAGAAATAAGATCCAATTGGTACAGAGTTTAAGGCACCAGATTAGAGGGAGACAGAGAGACTGTGAGTTCTAGTCCAGCCTTATGAAGCCAGATGGGTGACTGTGTCTCCTCCAACCCTAAGAAACCCCAGGAAGAAGACAATAACAAAACAATTGTAAAAATTTTGCCAACAAAGCTGTAAGGATAATTCAGGCAGTTTTCAGGAGTTAACACACACACACACACACACACACAGAGAGAGAGAGAGAGAGAGAGAGAGAGAGAGAGAGAGAGAGAGAGAGATATAGTTTATAAGCCAGAGCTCCTAGAGATTTTCCCAGAATTATAGAAATATTTGTCCTCTGCAACATCCTACCAGTGATATAATCTATCATGAAAAATTTATGTAAATTTCTGTTCTCTCTATTATACTGCTTCCTATGTGAGATACTACTTGGTAAGGTGCCAGGAGCTTCATATCATTGCCTTGAATTTACTTATATTATACCTATCCTACTAGAAGGGATATGGACTAATTATCCAATCAGAATATTTACAATAAACTAGGTTACACTAAGAAAGAGGATATATAATGCACAGTGCAATCCATTTGAAGTGCTCATTCATATGGAAATATTGGCCTAAGAGTTAAGCCAGTTTTTTCACGCAGGAAAACGCACACATTCTGTCTAGCTGAACTTTGGGATAATTTATCCTCACAATATGGCAAACATTTCTTCAAAATTTTAATAAAAGCTTACTTTATAAATCTTAGTATGTTTTATAAGCTAAACCTATGCAACCAGTAGGCTACACTGTTGAATTAAGTGGGTTAGTGAATTAAGTCTGTATGTTGTACATTTGTTATCATAAAGATTTGGTATAGCTTTGTGTTATGTACGGATTGCCTAGAATCTACATAAGGTTTCATGCTCACCATGGATTGGCTAGAATCTACATAAAGTTTCACGCTCATCACTGATTGGCTGTCCGGACCGTGGGAGATTTAACCTGCTGTCATTGGCCGGCTGGTCTGCCTGGGGCTTATTAAAAAGCTCCAGCAGCCCAGCCGGCAGAGTGCAGTCACATTTTGCTGGAAATAAAAAGGTGCTGAATTTACTAACGACTCTCGCCTGCTGCCTTGCACCGATCTAACACTGGCGACGAAGGACAAAAGGAACCTGAAAACCTCCTCATGAACCATGCAGCTGTCTTGAAACAAGGACCTCCGACCACCTGCACGAATGGCATCGCAAGTATCACCAGCCCCAGCGTTCTTCGACC